CCAAATTATGTGATATAGGCATATTTATGTGAATTCTGTGGTATTATGTGAAACACAGAAAATCACTGGCCCTGCTGTAGACTTTCCGCCCCAGGTGTGCCAACAAAATTTCACTATCATATAAGGATCTATGATTGCTTATCCAATAGCAAGCCTTGCTTTGATAAAACGTTACATGACCTGGAAGATCAAAGCAAATCGTTTGTTTTTTAAAAAATCGGGTATTTCTCGAAAACTTGCATAAGAAACCACCTTTTGCGCTCTAACAAAAAAAATTCCTTTAGCAATTTTACTATATGCTCACCAATATTTAACTTTATGGGGCGCATCAAACCAAAACACAGCTTTAAATTTTGAGAAAATCACGTTTAAAATTTCGTGTAACAATAACACAGATGCATTTCTATCAAGGATCGACAATCGGATTTCTAAATTCTAATTTTAGATCACGGCTAACCATATACGAGATTTGCATCGACAAAAATTTTATTATGTAAATCAATATTTTAAATGACAAATTACCTAGAAGAGTGCCTACTTTATACAACCGTATGGTTAACTCATTTTGCAAAAAATGCCATAAGCCGTGTTTTGGTTTGACGCACTCCATATTATAAGCACTAACCCTAACTTAAACGAATTTAAAGATTTTTTTTCGTGCACTACATCTTACCCAGGTGCGCCAACAAAATTTTACTATCACGTGATTGCACTGTCCGTAGGTTTCGCGATTTTAGACGGCCCGCATTTTTGAAATATTCCCTGTTTTTCTAAAAAACACCAAAATTACTTAATAAAGCTTTTCATTTTCGGTAAAGTAGATTTTCGGAAATTTGTTATATACAATGTAGGAGGTATCGGATGGTTTTTTTTTTTTACTTTTATATGTAATCGATAAAATTTTATTTTTATTTATTTAAACTCATAAGCTTTTAAATATAATTGTGATTACATAGAATGTACTCTATATTAATTACACCTCTATAAATTCGCCAATTTTATATTCCGAACGTGTAAATATAGAGGCTTGATTATAATTGTATCAAATAAATTATATAGGTAGCTCAAAAGAAACACCAATATTTGCTTCCCTTGCAAGCTGAATTATCTTTGATAATTGAACGGATTTCGAAGCTGCCTCATCAAGATCATCTGCAGAGATTATACGTAGTCCAGATTCGGCTATAAGTTTCTTGGCTGAATCTACCTCAGTACCTGTTCCAAATCAAACTAAATAAACTGCACTTTTAAAATAAAAAATTATAAATAAGCACTTTACCTTGCAATCGCACAATTACAGGTATGGACAATGATAGTTGTGAAGTAGCTTGAATAATGCCCCGAGCAATAATATCACAACGCATGATGCCTCCAAAAATGTTAACCAAAATGGCAGTCACTTGTGGATCTGATGAAATTATTTTAAACGCTTCGGTCACTTGCTCTGCAGTAGCACCACCGCCAACATCTAAGAAATTAGCTGGTTCTCCGCCATGTAGTTTAATAATGTCCATAGTTGACATTGCCAAACCGGCACCATTCACTAAAAGATTATGATTTACGATAAATTGTCGCAAATAATGGAAACCATGACATTATAATCATAATGGTACCTAAACAGCCGATCTGTCCCTCCAAACCGATATAATTCAAGTTGTATTTGGCAGCGGCAACCTCGCGTGAATCTTCTTGAGTGGTATCACGTAAGGCAAATATATCCTTTTGTCTGAATTCCGAGTTTTCATCAAAATTTAGTTTTGCATCCATACATAAAACTAAATTACAAAAATAATTAACATATGTAACTATATTGTTTGAATAACAAGATAATGCTAAAATAATAATAATAATAATAATAATAATACTCACCTTCGTGTTCCACAGATTCGGCCATCGGATTAATTTCTACTTGCGTACAATCTTTGTCTATGAATAGCTTGTAAAGTTTCTGCATCATGTCAGCGGCCTGAAAAAATGTACTGTTAACACATTAACTTGAATTAACATGCCTCTATGCTATTTAGATTAAATCATTTGGATAACCTCTTCGCGAATTTGTGGAGAAAAGCCCAACTTTTCTGCCAAAGACAGGGCATCATCTTTTTTCAGACCATCATCAATGTCGATGCCTAATGTTAAAATGGCCTCAGGATTTTCAGCTGCAACGCTTTCAATGTCGACACCACCTTGAGAGGATGCGACGATGACGGGACCCTGGGTCTTTCGATCTTGAAGAATAGCAAAATAATATTCACGACGAACAAATTTGCGTTCGACAATGTAAACCTATGGTTGAAAGATTCGATTTGAACATGTTTAAGTGAACAATGAGAAAATAAATATTAATAATAAATGTAAAATTATACCGAATTACATATTTTTCCACCTGGGCCGGTCTGCTTTGTTATGAGTTTATAACCCAGCATTTGCTTAGCAAACATTTCAGCTTCGGTTGGGCTAAGAAAAAAATAAACACATAAGAATATATTATCTTAATTATATAAGTTAAAATCAGGATTATTATGAATTACATACGAAAAGATAGTTCGAACACCACCCTTAAGACCACTTTCAAAAACACCCTTACCACGGCCGCCGGCGAGGACCTGTGCTTTAATTACAGCATCCTCTGTACCTTTTGAATAATTGCATATTTTTGAATGTGATTAAATTATAAGGAAAAAGTCTATTTAGAAGATACCTAATTTTTTTGCCATTTCAAATGCCTCTTGAGGTGTTCTTGCGACACCACCTTTTGGTGTATTTACGCCATATTTATTCAAAAGTTCCATAGACATGTATTCGTGTATAGCGAGATTTCGCTTCTGGTGGCCTATAGAGAGCTGATAGAATAAACCAACTCAGGTTCAAATGCGAAAGTCCAAAAGTTCTTTAGGACATTAGCATTGTACTTAGAAAATATATAACTACCAGCGATGCTCTTCTAGCAAAACCCTTAGCGATGGTCAGTGATCGAAGCATAATTAAACAGATCAAATTCTAAACTTTAGATATTTATCTGTTTATCCATCTGCGATCATGCATATCATGCATTAGATAAGCTTACGTAATTTGATTGGCTAAATTAAGTTACACGGATATAAATCACTCCCGATTTGGAAATCACGCATTTTATCCAATCAGTGTCCGTCACATCGAATTTACATGAATGATCAGTGTGTAACGTTAAAATTAAAATTGGACGTACTGTATTTTTTAAAAGATTTTTGTTAAATTTAGCAGGTTGTGATATCGCAGTTAATATAATTTTTAAAATTATTATTAGTTAGGGTTAGGGTTCGAGCTAGTATTAGGATTAAAGTTAGAAGGCATATTTATATGCAAAATTGTGTGTTAAAGACTTTGTTTATATAATGAAATTTTAAGATATTTAAAATTTTAATTTTTTTCTTAAGTTTTCCTAATTTTTCATTTATTTTTGTTATACAAGATCCTGTGATCTAATTGGTTGATCATATTAACCTGCGATATAGCAATCTGTAATATTTAATATTATCCTTTT